CAATTTGTTAATGAAAATACAAATGGAATTAGTTTGGAAGCTGCCGGCGGTGTCAGTCGCGGATCTTGTTTAACTGGGCCGGTAGCGTGGATTTTGGTGTTAGTGATGTGTCACTCAGTGTCACTTGCACTTGTTAGGAGAATCCAAGCGTTCACTGGCAATTAAACTTGCAATTTGTGAATTTTACTGGGCGAAGTCTTTGTCAAGGTGAAACATGCCTAGAATAGTGGACTTAGATGGCCAGGTTTTGTGGGAAAACTTCAGGGTGATTTTAGAAAAAAAAAAAAAAAAGACCTCTTTTCCCTCGCAATCACTTAATAAAAATGTACTCAGAGACACGCATCCCGCTCTACTGGGTTAACCGTGTGATGATCATGATTCTTTTAATGTTTTACATGAATCTTCGTGTTTTCTATCAGTGTCTCTCAATGCCACAATCAGGGTATTTTTGCTATCTTGTATTACCCTAATCGCCAAGAAGTGTGCTCCAAACTGATTAATTCCAGAATGATTAAAACATCCTATGCAATTCATTTATTGTTGCTGCAGTTAATTGAATATTTGATGATTTAAAGGTACCCTGATTATTTCCTAAGATATGTCTTTATCACCAGGCAGATGATCTGCGCGTGGTCCCTGTGTGGCTACATGGGGTGGCAGCCTGCACTGTCACACGCCGAGAGGGTAGGCACTTGGGAGGGCTCTCAGTCAACTCAGCACCTGCCCGATGGGCGCCTGCCTTCCCTGGCCCTTAGAGGACCCCGTCCGTGCCCAGCCCGAGAGGGTAGTCTGGGGCCAGGAGTGAGAGCACAGCCTCCCCGGGCGGCGTGCAGCTCGCTTTCTGCTCCCAGAGGAGGGGGCGGAGAGGGGGATGCAGGAGATCGCCGGCTCTGAGTGGCTAACTTGCGCTTTGTGGACTCTCTGAATACTCAAGAGTGCATTGAAAGGGAGGCGAAGGTGGCTCCGGAATTAAGCGGCAGCTTGGCAACTCGTCAGGCGGCAGTTCTAATCCCAGTGTCACCACTAGTTCTCCTCCTGTCTCCTGTCACACCTGTCCGAGTGACTCCTCCACAGTTCCTGCGAGAGGACGGGGCTGTGAGAGACACACTGACAGACAGACAGAGCAACCAGGCAGCGGGGGCTGAGCCCGGCTTCTGTCCAGAGCGCAGTGTGAGTGACCTGGGTGCCGTTCCTCAGGGGGCTCTGAACCTGAAGTGGCCTTAGGTGGCCCCGGCACTGCTCGGCCATGGCAAATCCTTGGCCTCTCACCCCCTTATGGGGCGAGGACTGCGATGGGGACCTCGGCGGCTGGGACCTCCTGTCGGACATGGCTCTGTCCGTGAACCCGGTAGGTACCCCTGACACCCAAGTCAGACCTCCTGTTCCGTATTGTCTGTTTCCCCTGTAAATGTTTGTCTCCCCCAATTTGCGTGGAGTCTCGAAGGCAGAAATTAGGTTGTCTTCGGTGTCTTTAAATCCTCCCCTTGGCACCGTCCTGAGCACAGTGTGAGCTCAGTCAGGATTTGTTGTCTAAAGAAGTAAATGGGAGAACTGATGAATAGGCGGACGGGCGAATGAATGCGATCCTATTACCCTTGTCACCACCTTACAATGTATGTCCCAGTGGGTCTCAATTGTTTGTTTTCCCGTCCCATCTAGACATTTAACTCCGAGAGAAACAGGCCAAGTCTGACGGCTCTTTGTGTCACCGACCCCCCTCGCCCAGCACTGTTCTAGGCACAGAGGAGATGCTCGCTGGCTAATTCAAAAGCACTTGCGGGGGGGGAAAAAACCACTTGAGGCTCAAATGAGTTGTCTTGCGGTGAAAAGAGCAGCGGAGCAGGGCTAGATGACTTTGCAGGACTGGTGACTCCATGTCAATGCTGGATTCCAGTATTTTCTAAAAAAGAAAAACAAAATCTGAACGCTCGGTATGGATGCATATTTATTTGACTGTCCGTGTCGGCAGAGTTCTTCCCCAGAGTCCACAACTCTTTCTATTTTGACAGCATTTCCCCATAAGGAAACGGATATTTATAATACCAGGTGTAGACATGATATTTGCGGTTGGCAAGAGTGAGTCAGATCTTACCTTGTGCAGACGAGAAGACTGGGCTTCGTAATAAAGGCAGTGAGGAGACCAGCAGGGCAGGGGCTAAAAACCCAACGCAGCATGAGGGGCTTTGCGGGTTACAAAGCGCGTTCACATACCTTATATCATTTGCTGCTCGCAGAAACCCTTGTGAGCTTTGAAAGGAGCAGGTATTACTCTTATCATCCTTTTATTTTACTCGATTTTATTTTATAGTTGGGCAAACTGGAACTCAGAGGGGTCAGGTTGTGAAGTCCTGTTCCCAAGGGGTAAGATCAGCCTCCCACCCAACTCTTGAGACTCGTAGGCAAATGTCCTCGCTGTGTCTGCATGTGGCTCATACTTTTTTCCCACTTTTATTTCAAAATTAACATTTGTGTGTTTGTGTGGCAAAGGGAAAACAAAGACCTTTTCATGAGAGTTGGGCAGCCCAACAGATACAGTGGGACAACCACACTGAAGATTTAAGTCTTGGCTGTAATCATTTTGACCTTTGTGTTTGGGGAAGGTATATGTTAGAAGTTCAACAACTGTCTTGGAAAATACGGTTGCTAGAGCCTTGAGCAATGGAATGAGATTTTTTTTTTAAATTTAGTTAGTTAGTTAGTTTTGGCTGCATTGGGTCTTCGTTGCCACACGCGGGCTTTCTCTAGTTGCAGCGAGCGGGGGCTGCTCTTCATTGCGGTGGCTTCTCTTGTTGCGGAGCACGGGCTCTAGGCACGCAGGCTTCAGTAGTTGTGGCACAGGGGCTCAGTAGTTGGGGCTCGCGGGGTTAGTTGCTCCGCGGCATGTGGGATCCTCCCAGACCAGGGCTCGAAGCCGTGTTCCCTGCATTGGCAGGCGGATTCTTAACCGCTGCGCCACCAGGGAAGTCCTTGGAATGAGATTTTATTTGCTGTTAAGAATAATCAGTTGAGTTCTGTAATCCTGTAATATGTTAGACCAGCCTCTCCTAGTGTATATTCTGCAAACACCCATTCTATGGAATGGCGATCATTGTTAATTGGAAAAAAAAAACACACATGAAAACTAAAAACCCAACCATCAGTGGTCAAGAAAGTTGGGAACATGCTGCTTTAAACCAATTACATAGGTGTCTCAGAGCCTCTAAGTTGCATCATGGGTTGCCAAGAGGGGGATGCATGGCAGCATTGCCCATACTTTTTTGGACACGGAACCTTTCATTTTGCAGCACTGGTGTCCATGGGATGTCCTGCTTTATAGTACTTACCATGGTAACAGTCGTCCATTACCTATGTGATTCTTCACACCCACCTTCTTCCTGAGTCTACAAACTCCATGAGGGAGGAAACTGTGTCTCCTTCTGCTTTTTTCCGTTGTGTCTTTGCCGACCACAAGCCTGGCGGCACAGTCCCTGGCCCTCAAAGAATATTTGTTGAATGAATGAATGAATGATCTCTGCTAGACCAAACCACGTGTGGTTCCCTATCAGGAGCCTGTATTTAAGGTTCTTTACCATGTCTGCCCAGGCAATTTGTCAGCCTTTCCTTCTACTGTTCTTTCCGCTCAATATCAGAGTACTCGTGTTCTTGGAAGGGTGACTGTATAATTTGTCGTCCGAATCAGGACATTTTTGAGGGTGAAAAGGGACACTGTCAGTAATGACAGCAGAATAACATGTGTACACTGGAACCACACTGGGTTATAACCCAGGCTGGATGGCCCCCTCATTATTGTTGACTCTCTAATTCCCCACTAGGGATTTTATGCTGCTTGGAGCAGGGACTCTTCCATGGAGTAGGTAGTCAAGGTAGTCAAGAAATATTGGTTGAAATTAATGTATGTACAGTAGTGACTGTTACGCTCATTTAAGATTTACTGATGATTGTAGCGTGTATTTTTTTTAAGATCGAGGGAAACTGGGGCCACATTCTCTTCCCCATTTCCTCAAATATAGTTGTGTTTATACCTTAATCTATCAGAGTAACGAGGGGATTAGGACTTAATGGCCCTTGCGAGAGGCCTGGAACCTACAGCCTCTGTGGCAGTACTCTCTTTACAGGACTGGCCTTTTACCTCCCAAGGCAGTGAGTGAAAGAGACCAAATGGTCTCCCTACTGGAACTGGAGGGAAGTGGAGGTGATCAAATTGCCTTCTTGGAGAAGGTGTGAAGGAGAGAGTTCGGAAGGTTTGGGGGATGCCCGTACCTGCACAGGTGCCGTCACACCTGGTAGACCTTCCTGCAGCTGGTGGTCCCACCCTCAGGTCCCTCATCAAACACAGCTTCAGAGCTGGTGTTTCACTTCGGCATTTGGTTTCTTGCTCTCACTGACTCTGGAGCTCCTGAAGGAAAGGGCATGTGCCTGGTGCGGAGTCAGTACTCGGTACAGCTCTGCTAGTCGCTTGAATTTTGATTGATTAGGAAGGTGTCACACTGAGGAGAAAAGCTCAGGGCGTTCACTTTGTGAGATTCTCTCTGTAGGCATCTGATTGGACTCCTGAGTTGAAAGGGGACTTCAATTAATCACAGAAGTGGTTCATATAGGCGTCCTCTTCTACAAATCTGTGATTATGAATAACATGGTAAAGTATGTCAGGGGGTGGAAGAGGCCTCAAAGATCAGGAAGGCGAGCTCCTTCTTTGGATGGATGAGCAAAGTGAAGCTCGGGGGACAGGGGAGGGTGGCTCCGTGTCCCGGAGCAAATCAGTGACAGAGCCAGGCCCTCTCTGCATCTTGTACTGTGGTCTTACTGCTTCCGTAAAAGAAAACAAAATTGGCCATTTGCAGATACTTACTGCTTTGTATTTCATAGGGGGAAAACCCCACATGTATAGCTATATTTACTTCCTTTACAGTTTTTCCTACAGGGTAAAATATTATACAACATGCTTTTCTGAGAATAACTAGATTATGGTTAATTTTCTTTTTTTGCTTATTTTGTTTTAGGTGAGCCTTCCCAGTGACCCAAGCTGTGTTGAAGAAATCTTGCGGGTGAGTTTAAACCTTTATCTCTCTGCCTTTTAATAATGAAGCAGTCAACCTGCTCAAGCTGTTTAAAGTCATTCCTCTTCTGTTTCCGGGAGTGTCTCATTTCTTACCTCGTCTTCTTGCTCTCTAATCAAGCTAGTCTCCTGATCTCACCAAGCGTCTGTTGCCTTCTCGCATCCTTCTGAGTCTTTTCAGGGCTGAGCAGAGACTCACCACCTCCTTTAGGAAACGTTTCCTGTTCAAGCATCCTACCCACAATCTTTGCCTTTCTGTTCTCTGGGATCTCAGGTCAGCCTCATTGCTGCCTCCTGCTACGTTGCTGATGGGACATGGTCATGGAGATTGTGGCCTACAACAAGGGGATGAGAAGTGGCAGGGTGGAGGGGAGGAGATGAGGAGAGACTTGAGAATGATGGCAAGTTGTGGGAGATGGTACTAATGGGGGTGAACTGGTGCATGAGAATGGCGTGGAGACAGCACAGAGCTGCAAAAGGTGGCAATGACCTCTCCCAAAGTACACGATTAAAGCAAAAGGAGAAACCAAAGCCAAGGCAGAGAAATGTATCTCCCGTGTCTGCCTGTTGGCATCCTAAGGCGTTGCGGTATATGAAGAATAGGAATCGTGGGAGTGAGTTCTCTCTCCACCATTTGTCACTTCTGCAATTTGGACAGATAACTTCATCTTTCTGAATCTCCCTTCCTTGTCTGTAAAAGAGGACAATAATGCCTGTCCTAATTCCCTTATAAGCTGCCGAGAGGTATATAAATGCTATTTACTATGAGGAATGATCAGTGTGGCCGGGAGAAAAACATGCTGGCTTTCCACTGGGGAAAGAAATCCATCTCTGTGCCCGGGGAAATTCTTCATCCCCTTTCCTCACCTCCCCAAGTCACCTCAGCTCCCCCGACACTCTCCCTGGTACGTGTTGGAGGCAAACCCTGTGAAGATGCAGCGAAAGGAATAAAAAGGAGTAGAAACCTGTTCACCATGGAGCTGACCGGGCGCCTGATTCCCCCACTGTGGACATTCGTGCACCTTTTCCAGCCCAAGAATGTCGTTACTGACTGTTAAAGAGGGGAGTCCGATCACTCTGCTCAGAGATGAGACGATCTGAGTTAGGGGAGTACTGGTTACTTTGGTAAGAGTCCAGGAACCCCTCCATCATCTCTCCCTGGGATCCAAGGGCCGGGGGTGGAGGTGGGGTGGGGAGTGTGGGCGGCCGCCATGAAATCCACAGCGTGATGCACCCTCGGAACCCAGCCGCTTGCTCCCTGCACCTTGCGTCGGGTGGAGACAGTGCAGATGTACGAAATACACCCAATACTGTGAGGGTCTTGGCCACCTGCCTTTTAGAGAAAGGCGATGCTGAAAGAAACCTCTTCCTCTAGTCCCTACAGTAGTCTGGCTTTTCCAAATGAAGTCAGTGGTCTTTTCTGAACCCCAGAGGAATGCCAGACCCATTTCAGAATCACCACCTCATTTGTGACAGTTGGAATTCTCCACTTCAGAGCAGCCTGGCCCTGGAGCCTAGGTGGCCCACACAGTGACCGAGCGAGGGGAGCCGGCTGGACACCTGGCAGAGGCTGGCGACTCCAGGCTGCTGGAGAAGCCACTTAGAGAAACAACAGAATGTCACTTAAACACGGAAAGAAAAGAAGTAGTTACCTTAATAAGCTCATAATAGGTAGCTCCCTTTGAGAAAGTAACAAAAGTCTTTCTGTTGTTCTTGAAAGAGAATCTAGGGGAATGGGCTTTTTTTTTTCTTTCGAAGGGCTATACATCGTATAGAATTCTGGGGTCTTTGTTTTGTTTCGTTTTCTCGACAATACCGTTAATGAGTGGACTTTCCTTTATTGAAGAGTGACATGTTTCAATCTCCATGCTTGGAATTTTATAGACCACAGTACACGGCACAACAGAGTGCTTGCTGGACACTTTTGTTACAGCACGTTCACGTTCCTGTTTGTTTGAGGGCCTCGGAGCCCTGCAGACGATCCCACAGTAAGTCTGTTGGTCACCTTGCTCCCAATCTGCTTCCTTCTTGAAGGGGCTGGAGGGGGGAGATACCTTTCCTCTTTCTCTCCTCCTCTCTCTGACCCCCTCGGTGCTTTTCCAACTAAGCCGAGTCCAGAGCAAGGTCGTCTTCTCTCCCTCACTGAAGGGGGCTCTGCAGAGGAAGATGCTCTGGCCCAGGGGTGGGAAAAGCTGGCCGCCGGTTGTTCCTGACGTTCCATCACTTCCTAGCTGTGTGGCTTTTCAATTTCCTCGTCTGGAGAACAGGGGGTCATTCTGCACCCTTACATCCCTCTCCTCTGCCGTGAACGAGTCTGTAATGTGTACACACCGCTGGCACGTGTAACGGGGAGAGACCTCCGTCTGTCGGCTCGCCCAACTTTCCCACCTCCCCGAGTCCCCCTTTTTTCCCTCTACAGCCCAGCAGGCAAAGTCACTTCATCGCACATTGGTACAGACGAAGTAGGACACGACTGGCCTCTCCCCGCTCTCAGCCCCTCAGTGCCCAGGCGGTGGAAGTACTTTGGCCTAACGCATTGGATTTGGGCCCCCTTTTCAAAACGCTGTTCAAGTTCAAACCAGTTGGCTTCCTTTGAAAGTCCCTCTCGCCATTTTTCCCCTTCAGACCCGCTTCTCTTTCCACGCACTCCTGGCTCTCATTCTACCCGGGAGCCCACCTTGTCTGGTCTTCCAGGGCTGACTTGATCTGATATGACGAACGTATGTCCCTCTAGCACGTGACTGCCTTTCAGAGTACTTGAACCTCATTATCTTATTTTGATCGTAGGAACCATGGTAGTCCATTATTATTGGCTTGGCCAAAAAGTTCGTTCGGGTCCTCCGGAAGATGTTATGGAAAAACCCGAATGAGCTTTTTGGCCAACCCAGTGTTTCAGGAAGTCGGGGCCCAGAGAGGTTATACATGACCTGCCACCCTGGGTGAGGCTAGTATATGGCAGAGGCACAAGGAGAGTCTGGTCTTCGCTTTGCCCTACACCTGTCAACCACCGTGTCACAAACCTACAGTGAAAATCTCTGGATTCAAAAAAAATTGCCTCAGATGCTCGGCAGACTGACTCCTAGCAAGTCTGACTGGGAATACCAGCACACCGACAAAATCTGAGCCGGTCTTAGGAATGAATTCTTCCGGACATCTTGAATATTTTCAAATCGCATTTCAAATAATAAAAGAATAACAATAACAAATTACTGCTACTAATAAAAAAGTAATAGTAGTAATGTGCGACTTCATGCAGGCGGAGTACTTAAGTGCATTATGTCATTGACTTTTCACAACAGAACTAAAAGATTTTATTATTAGTTACTGGTTATGGTAAGCCAGAGAGGTTGAGTAATTCGCCCTCAGGGCAAACAACCGGCTCTAACAATCTTCATGCTGCCCCCTCCTGTTCTCTGTTCCTGTTGTCTCACCTGAATCCATCCTTATTCCACAAGCTCCGGGCTCTTACGATTAACATTACAATGGCGTCAACCAACAGTTCATTTCAGCTTCTGTTGTTTCCTTAATTCGTACACACTCAGTCATGCCAAAATAATTCCACGTAGTTTTTCCAACAAATCAGAATTCATCAGCCCACAACACCTTTCCCGCCACCTGCCCTTCTTCCACAAAACAAGCTGTGGAAATTCAGAGGGCTTTGCTCCTTGTCAAGTGTATTATTGCTTATTATAAATTTTACAGATCAGAAACTTAAAGGCAGCACATCTGTGCAGCGCAGCCCAGCCTGCGTACCTGTTTCCATCAGCATGCCGTTTTCTCTTCAGACTCAAGCTACCCTCGAGTACCAACAGAAATGAAAAATAATAATAACTCTGGCCCTAGTGATGGTGTTCTGCAGTTACAATTCATCTGTCATATGAGGGATTCCTAAGCTGCTCGTATGTAATAATCTGGGCCACAGCGGCGGCTTCTTTTCTAGCTCCGCCGGGTTTTATGGGTCCTAGAGTAATCATTTCTGGAAGAGTTAAGCCGAGGAGAGCAGTCTGCACTAAATGCTCCTAGCTGAGGATGGATGTTCAATGATTATTTCTTCTGCAGTGGTATGATTTATTTGTTCTTAGCAAGAATTGACTTAAAAATATCAACAGACTATCAATTAAATCCTTTCCAGAGTCACAAATGCAGATACAGCACTTCTCTTAGATTTGACGCCGAACAGATTGTGTTTCCTAGCTAAGTACCTTCCGTAGTTGATAATTTCATAAGCAAACATCTGTATGGGTAATTCACTGTTTATGAGGGATGCTGAATTTGCTAGCTAGGATTTAGGGAACTTGATTTGATAAACTATCGTCTTACAGATTTCTCCCTGCCATATGGATCAGGTCTGTAAACACCGGCATGGGCACCTCTTCTGATTGCAGCATGATCTGTGTTTACAACATTTTAAATTATGGCAATTCTGCTTATTAGGTCTATGTTTAAGTGCACAGTTTTAGTGTGGAAAGAACTTACCAAATAATTAGAGGACGGCCATGTACAGTGCTTGCTAGTTTTTACTTTTAAAGGGGAAACGAATGAAAAAGCCCATCTTAAGAGTGAGAAAAAAAATGGATTGGGGAGCAAAACTGATCAGACAATTACGTCTGAAAGGAATTTTGATTATATTATCATAACTATGCAGCATAATCAAGCACCTTTCAGTAGAATTCCTTTGATAAATTTAACCAATAATTAGGCAATTGATTTTATATCCTGTCAAATTAATGTATAAATAATGTTCAAATTGGAATCATGCAAACGATTTTCTCCATAGCCGTCTTAAATACTAATCCTCCCAGGATGATTCAGAAAGCATCTATCCTATTCTGGTGTGGACTTTCAAAATTATAGTTTCTTGAAATAGTAATATAGTGTTCCATCCAAGAAAGACAACAACTGCTAAATATAATTTAGACTGTAATTAACATTAACACTGATGGAGTCAAATAAACGGACTAACCAATGATTGCACCCTCTGCTATTCTG